TGTTGAATATTCTTTTTATATAAGATTTCATAAGCAGTTGCTATGGTAAAAGCCTAAGTAGGAAATATCTAGTGCATAAGCTTCTCATTTTCTCAAATCTATGAGACTATTATTTTTTTTAATTTACCCTATCTCCTAATTTAAAAGCAAAATAGAAGCATTATCAAAGGGAAAGGCTCTGCCCTTCCTGAGGAATGGGTATGATTTTTTATTTTATTTCGATGGACTGTTACAATTCTGTAAACCATTTTATTTCAGCCATCGGGAAGCTCAGAGCTAAATTCTGAGCACAAAATAACAAGGGCCCAATGGCCTGGTAGTGCATCTTCTAGTTGTGAAGCTTGGTCTTGTTTTGGTACTCAAAGTTGTGTTTTTGGTGGTCCTAATTTTTGTTTTTCTTTTTATTTCAGGAAATTATGGGGGCACAAACTGGTAGTCCTCATTTTAAAATTTACTCTATTACATGAATTCTTCTAGGTCAGGTGACAATAGAATTAATTATCCAATCAAGGACACTTTGAGAGTGAAAAATGAGGGCTAAGAATGACTTCTCCAAGGCAACAGATGTAAACTGGCCTTAACTTTGCAAACCAGGATGTGGGGTCATATTATCTGTAGGGTAATGAATCAAAATTGAGACTAAAAAAAAAGAAAAATTAAAATACCATTTAAAGACAAAAATATTAGGACGCCACCTGTAGCACCATATGCTGAGACCACAAAAAAAAAAAATGTTTGCCCAAAATTAGAAAGCATTTGGTCTCTACAGCTTGCTCACGAAGTATAGCATAATCCCATGTACGTGGCAAAGCTACTTCTCTTTTTCGACTTTTATGCTTTCAGGGGGAAGAAATACCCTAAAAATATTGCACATAGTATCTGGATGCTAAATAAATGCATTCTTGAATCAGGTGGATTTTGTGGTAGGGAAAAAAAAGAAAAAAAAAAACCTAATCCATTTGTGCTTAATAGAGTCATACGTTGGATGCCAAAAATAGACTCTACGTTATATTCTAACGGGTCATCGAGCTGCGAAAAGGTGCATTCCCAGAGACGGGGGACAGGGACCCTCAAAGTCCTTGAGAGGCACGACAGCATCCACTTCCACACTCTGCATCAGGAGCCATCTGCTCCCTGAATTTCTCCGAACAAGCTCTGAAACCAAGATTGGGATCTGATTTTTTTCCCCTTTTCTACCTGGCTTTCTCTTTTTAGATTGACACCCCCCCCCCCCGCCAGAGCCAATTGTCACCTGAGTCTTCAGAGGCAGTCTCCCTTCCTCAATTGACAGGGACATCCTAAAAGTGCAAGTAACTCGCAGGAGTGATGATGGCAGAGCTGACCCTCAACTGGGTGGATTGTATTTTTTTTTAAAAAAAAACCTCCCCCATGGCACACAACAAGGACAGGGACTCTAACTGAGGTCCTTAGTGATCGGGTCTTAACTTCTCAATGTGAGGATCTTTGCTGCTCTTTGAAGCCCAAGACCCTTTTCTCCCTGAGATCTTTACACTGGGTGATTTTCTTTGTCTAGCCCATTCCAATTATAGAGTGATTTATCTCTCCCTGCTTTTCAAGTCGCTTCTAGAATTGCACTATGACTTTAAAAAAAAAAAAAAGGCCTAATACTTCTTGGAAATGAGATATTATTGCATCGAAACTTTAAAAGGTTCTTGCAAAGAATCTACACCTTCATCATAGCACTTACTATAAAATAATAATTTTGCTCAAGGCAGCCGCCAAATAGCTTTTGATTTGCGGAAAATTCATCATATTAGCTGTTCGGTTACAAGGTTTTATTTTAAACCTTCGGTGATACAAACAGCTAGGATAGATAGTTGAGTTGAAAAAGCAGTATGAGCGTTATTTTATAATATATGATACTTATTTTTATATAACACCTATCACATCCACAATCATTTTTAAAAAGTCTGAAATGATACACATCAGATTATTTTCCCGTGGTCATTTCTTGTGAGGAGGAGTAAGTAGGTAGAGTGTAGGAATAATAATAACAGAATTTTTTTTATATCACATATGCGTGTGTCTGAATCTTTTTTTTAAAGCATGGACTACCTTTTTACTACTATTTTAAAAACCAATATAGAATGAAGGCTGTATAGAAAATTCGAATGCTCACTCATTTTTATCCATAGCCACAGTGTTAGTTTTACGGAGCAGGGTCTCATAGCCGTTTGGTTTGTCTTTCTGGGAGATTAATATTCTATGCACACAAAATAAATGTTGGACTGTGAACGAAAATGAATTAAAGTAAACTGATCATCATCTGTGATTCGTACCATAGGGCATTTACTCAGACCAGGGCTTGCAAATCAATGGCCTATAGCTACAGCTACAACTCTTACCATTCAGATTTTTATTATAAATAAATTTGGAAGCGTTGGCAACATTAGATTGTTTTCCTGCCCATGCACAGTCAGCGAGACCCTAGTAGTGCCCTGCACTTGGCTCTACGACTCTGCAACACAGCTGTGCCATCGAACCAGCCCACTTTGTCCCTTTACTTGCTTCTCTCTACGACAGAATTTGCTACCCCTAATCTAAGCTGTTAAAAATAACCCAGTGCTGCTCTGCAAAATCATTTTACATAATCCCAAAGGAGCTGGGGTCTTAAGGATGGTTATTAGCTCATATAGCAAAAAACTATTCCTATTCTGTAAAGACTTCTTAGGTTTCCTGGCCCATTTGGGTCCAACAGAAAAGTCTAAGAAAGTGCCACAGGCCGGGCGCGGTGGCTCACGCCTGTCATCCCTACCGACCTCTGGAGCCGAGGCGGGAGGGTCGCTCTCAAGGTCAGGAGTTCGAGACCAGGCTGAGCAAGAGCGAGACTCTCTGTCTCTATTAAAAAATAGAAATAAATTAATTGGACAACTAAAAATATATAGAAAAAAATCAGCCGGGCACATAGTGGTGCATGCCTGTAGTCTCAGCTACTCGGAGAGGCTGGGAGCAGAGTGATCGCCTTGAGCCCAGGAGTTTGGAGGTTGCTGTGAGAGAGGCTGACGCCACGGCACTCACTCTAGCCTGGGCAGCAAAGCGAGACTCTGTCTCAAAAAAAAAAAGCCATAAAAGCCATTATTACTTACCGTTTACTTATGTACTATTTTTATTCCTTTTAAACTTTTAAAGTTTAAACTATTCCTTTTAAACTCTATATATCTTAGATCCACGCAAAATTGGATGTCATTCCCCATAATGAAGAGAGCGATTTATTATCTACACACAAACAGCCCTCACCCCAACAAACACACGTCAGCTTATGACCAATGCTGGGGGCAGGGGGGTTAAAAAAAAAAATTCATCGATTTTACTGAAACATGTAAGTCCGAACAAGGTTAGGCTGGTAGAGGTTGCCAAGATCACATGGTGAGAATCACCCCGAAAAGCAAGAGACCCCCCCAATCTGCAAGCTGTCAGGTTGTCCCATGGGAACCTCAGGTGTCTTAACTGCCATACAACTAGGCTGACTCAAGAAGCATCTCCCAACTTGGGAGGTCCCAGGTCTTTTGACACCGTGGGAGCCCTTTTTGGGATTTCAAGAGCTAACCAGAAAGGGTGCGTTTATGCAGGAGCTGGATGCGAATGTCCAATTCGGTTGTTTCCTCGTGCAAATTTACCTGTCACTCATCTCAGAGCGGGGGTGTGGCGGCGACCAAGATGTGTGACCGATTTGTCAAAGTTGGGAAACAGAACGAGCCACCGCAAAACCAGCTCTGGGCCACTGGCCCCAAACCAACTTCCAATAACCCAAACCAAAAACTTCCAATAACCCAAACCAAAAACTTCCAATAACCCAAAACGCCGGCGGGCGGGCCGCGGCCCCGTGCCCGGGCCTGGGAGGAGATAGCACAAAGGGGAGACTTGGGTGTGTCGGCCCCGGGCAGCCCACGAAGCCCACCCGCCCGCTCTGTCCCTCCCCCACCCGCCACCCCCCACCGACAGGGAGGGCCGGCGGAAGGGGGGGGGCGGGGTTGGGGGGGGGTGTTTCTAGAGGATCGGAACCTTACTCTGGGCCTTTGCACCTTCGCCGGGCGCCTCGCCGTGTCTGACCTGCCCCCCTCGCGCCAGTCCTCCGAGCCAGGCTCCGAATGGCCTCCAGCCGCCCCAAGGACCCGTCATCCCGGCGGAATCCATCTCTTTGGGAACACAAAACCCAAACTTGCAGTGCTGTGTTTGATACAGGGAACAAGTGAGGGAGCCAGTTGGCGCTGGCGAGTCCCACCGCAGGAGCGGAAACACGAACACTCTCATTGGTCGTTTTGTTTTTTTTTTTTTCCCCCACGTGCTGCTTGGAACCGCTGCAGACGACACGCATGGTCTACACCAGGGGTCCCCAAACTTTTCAACCCTTTGCACCGCTTATACCGTAACCCCAAAAGGAGTGGGGTCGTGCTTTTTTTCCTCAATCGCCTTTATTCTTGCTTGCTTTTTTTGTTCCTCGACCACTTTATTCCAACTCCGGATTTAATTTTTTAAGTACCCCAGATTTTACAAAGCCCGGCAGGAGAATTAAAAAACTGGAGTTCCTTTTTGTACGCACTTATTTATTTGGATTTTTTAATATATATATGTGTATATATATATATATATATATTTCAAATGATTGACACATTCAAAGAGCAATTTTAATCTCGATTGCTTTTGCTAACTGAGGTCGAGTCACACTTGACATCCGAGTGCAAAGGGTTAAACGGGAGGTGGCCCAGGTCACTGTCCCTCAGACCGTTGGGGAGTGGCACTGTGGGCCCGGGACGAGTCGGCTGCTAAGCAGGACAGGCAGCGGCGACAAAAACACCGGGCAGCGGGCCGGATAAATGTGCTAGGCGGCCCGCATGTGGCCCTCGGGCCGTAGTTTGAGGACGCCTGGTCTACAGGATCACATTTTAACTTTGTGCTGAGTGATTTTTAGCCTGTGTCTTCGTTTACAGCTCCCTGCAATAAAACTGGCCAGGCAGTGACTTGCTCCTGGCAGACACGGTGACACCAGGGGACACCCTGAAACTGCTCCATGAGTCCACCGGGAAAAGCCAGGGCTGGGAATGGGCAGACCGGGCACGGCCAGGGCCACACTGAGTTAGCGGATTTGCACGGTGCATGGCCACCAGCAAAGCCTGGAGATGCCACCAGCCACCAAAGTGGTCTGATGGGTTTCAGTGCTCCCCGTGGATTTGAAAACCCCAGTTTTAATTATATAGGAGAAGCAAAAAAAAAAGCGAATTACACATCATTCCTACACACTCACTCGGAGAAAGAGCTCAGGATGAGACTAAAGCAAAAGGGACACGTTGCAGAGAGCCCTAAACTTTATGACCATTTTTTGTTACAAACGGCTTCAGATTTGTCAGCCTGGAGCAGCAAGAAGGCCATGATGTTTTAAAAAAGAAAAAAAAAAAAACATAATAAAACAAAATAAAACTGTTCAGCAGGACAGGGGCGTGGAGAAGGGTCTTCCAGCCCTGTGCCATTGTCGGGGCGTGGAGCCCCAGCACCAAGCCGAGGCCACCGAGGCTAGACGAAGGGACAGTCAGTGGCCAAGGCCCGAGGCTCGCTCAGGTCTCCGGAGCGGAGCTGGTGGTGGCAGCAGCTGTCGCGATTTGTCCCCGTTCAGGACACAGGGCTGAAGCAGTGCACAGGGAGAGTAGATAAAACAAGAGGCAGGGGAAGGTCTCAGCCCGGACAGCCGGCCTCACCCCTACAAAAAAAATCTTGGGGCGCAATGATTGAAACAGTGGGACTGAGCTTTCTCTGGCCTTGTCCTCCTACGGCGTCTCCAAAGACACCTCCTTCGCCCGGGGCGGCTTGGCTGTCGCCTAGAAGTTTCCGCAGTCTGAGCCCTGGGCCACGCGGGGCTCCAGAACCGTGGGGCCAGCCAGCAGCCATCACCCCCTCTCTGTAAGTCACTTTGCAGTCGCCCTCTGCAAACATGTTTTTTGGAATAGATGCACGTAAGAGTAAACAGACAGAGCGGCAGCGTGGCCCGGAGCGCCACTCGTGAATGGCAATGGGGCTCACTGTCCCTCCAATCAATAGCAACGGGACACGAGCCACAGGCATGGTCGAAGGATTTCCAGAAATCCCGTAAAAAAGATAAATGAGTAAAAAATCCTGAAATTAATTCTATTTTATTTAGGCCAATATATCTAAAATGTTATTCTACAGGTAGTCAATATAAAAAAAATATTTTTTTTTTGAGAAGACCCACCCCGTCTCGTCTGTTCCAGGCTACTGTGGAAGTGCCGGTGGCGTCAGGCCCTCGCTCACGAACTCCAGACTCCTGCTCAAGCGATCTCCTGCCTCAGGCCTCCGAGTTGCTGGACTTACGATTTGCCACCATGCCAGCTATTTTTTTCTATATATTTTGTAGGGTTTGGTCATTCAATTTCTTTCTCTTTTAGTAGCGAACGGTTTGCTCTTGTCAGGCTGGTTTCGAACTCTGACCTTGGCATCCTTCCCGCCTCAGGCTTCCCAGGAGTGCTGGGGATGCAGGGTGAGCCACCAGTGGCGCCCGGCCTAATATCAAATTATTAATGAGTTGTTTTGTTTTTTTATGTTACGGTCTTTTCTTCCATACTGAGCCATCAAAACAGGGAGCGTGTCTTACACGGAAGTGTGTCTCAGTTCGGTGTGACGTTCCAGAGGGGACAGACGGAGCAGGTGCGGGCGGGGGACGGCGGAAGAGGTGCGGAGGGGCAGACGGGCAGGTGCGACAGACGGAGCAGTGTGGGACAGATGGAGCAGGTTGCGGGGGGGACAGACGGAGCAGGTGGGAGGGGACGATGGAGCGGTGCAGGGGACGCGGAGCAGGTGTGGAGGGCAGACGGAGCAGTGTGGGGAAGCGGAGAGGTCGTGTGGGGGGACAGACGGGCACCCGGTTGTGGGGGGGACAGGACGGGGCAGGTGTTAAAGGGGGACAGCCGGAGCAGGTGCGGGGGGGACAGACGGAAGCAGGTGCCGGGGGGGCCGACGGAAGGCAGGTGCGAGGAGGGCGGGAGCAGGTGCGGAGGACGGACGGCAGCAGGTGCGGAGGGGGACAGACGTGGCAGGTGCCAGGGCAGACGGGCAGGTGCAGAGGACGACGGAGCAGGTGCACAGGGACAGACGGAGCAGGTGCGGAGGAGACGCGGGCAGGTGTGGGGACGACGGAGCAAGGTGTGGGGCGGCCACAGACGGGCAGGGTGTTGGGGGGCAGAGGGCAGCAGAGTGCACAGGGAACGGACGGGCAGGTGCACAGGACAGACAGGGCAGGGTGCGGAGGGACGGAGGAGCAGGTGCAGAGGACGGGCGGAGAGAGTGCACAGGGGAAGACGGAGCAGGTGCGGAGACGGGGCAGGTAGCACAGGGGACAGACGGAGCAGGTGCACAGGGGACAGACGGAGCAGGTGGCGGAGGGAGGCGGAGCAGGTGCCAGGGACGGGCGGAGCAGGTGACAGGGGCAGACGGGAGAGGTTGCGGGAGGGGCGACGGAGCAGGTGCAGAGGAGGAAACGGGTTGGAGCAGTGTGGGGCGGACAGACGGGCAGGTGCAACACAGGACAGATGGACAGGTGCGGAGGGCAGGGAAGCAGTGTGCGGGGGGGACAGACGGAGCAGGTGCACAGGGGACAGACGGAGCAGCGTGCGGGGGAGGGCGTGGCAGGTCGGATGGGACAGACGGAGCAGGTGCGGCGGGGACAGATGGGCAGGTGCGGGCGCCGCGCGCGGCGCAGGTGTGGGAGGGACAGACGGAAGGCAGGTGTGGCGGGACAGACGGAGCGGTGCACAGGGGCAGCGGAGCAGGTGGGGACCCGGGCACGGGCGGGCAGGTGCGGATGGACGGACGGAGCAGGTGCGGAGGACGACGAAAGTGCGGAGGACAGCGGAGCGGTGCGGAGGCACGAAGGCGCGACTGGGAGTGGGTTGGCTGTGAGCGGTGGTTCCCAATAGTCTCGGGGCCTTGGCGAGTCACTGAAAGGGTGCAGACGGGGTCTCCCTGCCAGGAGCCGTCTCGAGTGTGATGTTCGACAATGGGCAGCAAAGCGTGCGCACGCCAGTCAGATACGGGACCAGGCATTAAAAGACGGTGGCCATGTGGTGATGGCAAACATTTTAGCACTATAGTCAGATTTGCCAGGGACTGTTCTAGCTACACAACACACACAATTTCATCTTCATATGACACCACGGCAAACACAATTTTACCCACATAGTATCCGGATTACTTAGCAGGCACTGTTGTAGCTTACACACCACACACAGCAACCATTCCCCTTGATATCCATGATAATTAGATAAACTATAGACACAAATTTACAACACCTATGTCAGCAAACTTTGCCAAGAAGCATGTTGTAAGCTACAACACCACCCCAACACACACCCCTTTACCTAACTTCATATAACCTCACTTAATGGGCAACAGATAAATTAACCCAAACAATTAGTCAGAATTTGCCAGAACTCT